CCGCTCCGACCCGCTCCGACCCTGCCCCGTGCGGAGGCAGGCGAACCTTGACGCCGCGGCCGCTGTCGGATGCTTTTAGCCCCGCGAAGTTGCTCCCACTCGTTGACGCGGATAAATCCGGCGACCACCTGGGCCAGCGAGCGCACCGTCCGCGCCGCCCCTCCCCGCCTCTCTTTCCCGCCTCGCCGCCCCGCTCGCCGCGCCACGCTTCGGACGGGGCTCTTTGTCGCAGCGTCGGCAGCGCGTGCACTTCGCGGCGGGAATGCCCGGCATCCCGTGACATCAGCACTGGACGTCCGCGACGCGTCCTGTATTGCAGGATGGCTGTCATGTGCGAGGCAATGATCAGATGGAAGAATTCGTGGAAGGTCCTTGAGAAAGAATTTGCTTTCGAAACCTAATTCTTGTTTCCTTCGCTTTAACAGGACTCGGTCTTTCAGAGCTTTGGATATATATGATTTCAAAATCGTAGGCGGTAGAATTACCTCTAGAATTGAATGTGTTGAAATCATAATCGTCAATAATCTTAAAATTATTGTACATGCTGGTAAAAAGGAGCATTCACGTAACCACTGAGTTCATTGTTCATTGTTCGATCCGGTTTCAAACCTGGGAGTTTGAAGTTTGAAAAGTGCAGTGCACAGTTTTTATTATCAGAAATCGTACTGAAGTTATGATTTCGTAAATTTGGCTTATACAAAATAAAAACCTCAGCCATGCATTTTGTAGGCATTTTTAGGTGACAGTCCGCCTTAAAGAAGAGCTGCCGCTGTGAAGTTGCAATGGTCATCGTGAGGTTATTTATCTAATTAGGATTTTTCCTTTGGTAGTTGTGTTGAAAATTTGTAGCATCTCATGCATTTAACGCATTGACAACTTTAAGGTTCTGGTATTTCAACTATTAGAAAGTTCCAAAGCTGAAAATAAATATAAAAATAGAATGTTTGGTGTGCATTTGGGTATTGGTTCATCACATTTCTGTGGAAATTTGAAAATGTTTGCAAAGTTTTTACAAATAGTATATTCGAATATCCTTGCATAATGAATATTCCTAACCTAAAACTTCATATTAATATGCATCAAATGAATTTACTAACAAAATATTGCCCTGCAGTGTCAAGTTAAAAAGTCTGTTTTAGAATTGGTTTCTCGAATGGATTCTGCCTGAGAGAGCTACTGAACTTCATTAAGCTACATGATTTTGTTTCGTATGATTACGTATGAAACTCAAATAGCCAAATTATAGAACTTGTACAGAACCATTATAGAACTTGAATTTAAAACATGTACCGTCTTAGATATGTCAATCTGCAAGGAATCCTGAGTGTGTGGTTCTGCACTCAATATAACATTGCCTCCAGACATTGACACATACTATTCGTCCGAGACATGGCGAACTGCCATAACGCAAGAGAGATGACGCTGCTTCTACTGAGGCAGCAGCAGTTTCAGGGTTGCCGCGTGCGTCACTGCGAGATATTTCCTATCGAAGGAGATTTTTCTTTAACCTGGGGTCCACTTTTTTAAACTATTCACAAATCACGTTTTTACTAATGATAATGCCGTAGATGTTTTGTCACTGCACGTGGAGGCGAGGTTAGAAAAAATAACGAAACTTAAGCGCAGTACTCCCTGATTGTACAGTGCCAGTTTGCGAGTCGTAATTAGCGAGCCGCTCTCTTCCTTGTGCCTTGGGACAGAATCGTGGTTTGTAGAGCCTGTTTAGTTGTTTTTGTTTTCGCCTCAGTAGCATGTGTAATGGAATTCTTTGTAGGGCATTGCCACTTAACCTAAGAGTTTTTCAGCGCCTTTGCATGGAAAAGTTTGTAGGAGGCTTTACCGAACTCGAAACCCTGCGGAAATGCAATTTGGCTTTTTTCTTCAATTTATGGAGCTTACATGAAAATATCATATATTTGAATCTTTTGTTGCGTCAACATTTTGTTTTGTTTTTTGTTTCTCATGATGGTAAAACTAGGCAGTTCTTGCTGTGGAGTGAGTGCCATTTCGAGTAATGGCTACATGTTTGTATCAACAACCGAAGCTTGTCGAAGCTCTCAAAATACTATTGGTGTCATCCCACCTCTGTCTCTAACAAACTTTTCTTAACTAATTCTCCGTTTTACCCATATCCTTAGCGATAGTAATGACATAAATTTGTATTCATTAAAGTGTGTATTTTGATTATAATTAAATATATTTGTAACATTAATAGGAAAAATTTAACAAATAGGTTTTTGCATAGTTTTTTGAAAGAATTAATCTACTCGTGTCATTTCTTTGGATGGTAGTTGTTTGTAAGTGCTTTATATAGCATTTTGAGTTTCATACAACAAAATAATTAGATATTGTGTTGCCTAAACAGATTAGATACCGCTCAACTTCCTTGGAATCTTGATTGTGGCCATCTTTTTATTTCAGTTCGCCCGGAAATTTTGGCGACCGGCCGAAGTTATTGAATCCGTAAATTTAGAAATATCTTTGCTCAAATCTTAAATGTAAAGTACCGAAATTCAGCGAGGACCAAGAAGATTTATGTCTAGATTTGAAGGCGGAGTGAGGTTAAAGTTTATTTATCTAACATTTCTTTAATATAAAAGTTTAAACTCAATTTGAGTTAGGAATCTACCTCAATTTTTTTGTCGGTTTGAGGATTTGACAAGTAGCCAAGAGTTTCAAGCAACCACCAGAAAGTAAAATCAGGCGTTTCCTACACTTGTCTATAGTTTGATTTTATACAAAAGGCCGAGGAATAAGAAGCTTCGTAAAATATTTCGCTATTTGCTTATATTCCTTTAAATTAAAAATGAAATAATGATAACATTTGGTTTGTAAAAAAGTAATCGATGTAAATCTATCCTTAAATATTTCAAATGCGCAATTATATTAACGTATTCAGTACCCAGATATTATAACATTAAAAAGAATCCTGATAATCCTTTAGCCACCCTAACCTTTATTTCCCGTGGCCACCCTAACCTTCATTATTATTCATTCAGATCTCGCCTTTCTTCGAGTTACATATTCTTACTTTATTTCTATTTTATTGTAGCAGCATCCCCGCAAGGGTTTGTAAACTCACGTGTGTCGTTGAACGTGATGAGGTCGAACTGGTTATCCTGCAGAGTGCCCTCGTCGACTGCCATCCATTGCTTCTGCGTGTGCTGCAGGGACTCGGGGTCTGTGTCCACCAGCACAGTCACCGGCCACACTAGCTGTTGGTCGGTGAGTACGCGTTCCAGGTCGGTGGGGCGCTGCGTGGAGTCGGGAGGCAGTACCACGGGATGTTTCGCGTCGCCGCCGGGCCGCTTGCTGCCTGGGTCCGTCTCCCACGTCCAAGGCTCTTGCGTTTGCGTGACGCCCTTGGAAGGCACTTGTTCCTTTTCGTGCTGGATCTGCCCTCCCTTTTCTTGCTGGTCCGGCGTCTCGAAAACCATTTGGGAGCTTTGTTCCAGTTCGTGTTCGAGCCCTTGCATTTGCTCGAGGTTATTCCACTCTCCTGTTCCTTGTTGACCGGATGATTGCTCGGACCACTGTGCAGGGCCCTGAGTTTGCTGTGCGGGCCACTGTGCGGGATACTGGGTTTGCTGTCCGGGCCACTGTGCTGGACCCTGAGTTTGTTGTCCGGGCCTTCTGTTTGCGGGACCACTGGGTTTGCTGTTGGGGCACTGTGGGGATACTGGGTTTGCCTGTCCGGGCCCACTGTGGCTGTGACCCTGAGTTTTGTTGTCCGGGCCACTGTGGCGGACCTGGGTTTGCCTGTCGGGCCACTGTTGTGGCCTGGGTTTGATACATCGGCCACTGTGCGGGATAGTGGTTTTGATGCTCGGTGCACTGGTGGCGGGAGGCTGGGTTTGATGCTCGAGCCACTGTGCGGGACCCTGAGTTTGATGCTCGGGCCACTGTGCGGGACCCTGAGTTTCTTGTCCAGGCCACTGCGCTGGGCCCTGTGTTTGCTGGGCGGGCCACTGCGCAGGTCCCTGGGTTTGCTCACTTGGCCACTGTGCAGGATGCTGCGTGTGTTGCCCGGGCCATTGCTCCTGGCCTTGCACTTGCTGAGCCCCCTGCCCTGATGTCCCTCGTTCGGGCTCGAGGACTTGGATTCCGCCGCCCTTGCTGGTGATGGCCGCGCCGTGCCCCACCGCCACCAGCAACACCGCCAAGACGCACCGACTGAGCCGTTGTCGCGCCATCGCTCTCGATCGGCGTTTCCTCCCAGGCCGCGGCCCGCTGCTCCTTTTATGAACGGGCGCGGTGACATTGCGAGCGGGCGGATCCGTCCTCGCCGGAAATGAGTAAAGCGCTGCGGAGGAGACGCGGGCGCGCGCTCTTGTCGCTGGGGGTCATTTCCAGAAAGCGCACCTTTTTTTTCTTATCTTTTGGTATTTTTTCACTTTCTCGCGGTTGCGATAATTTTGTTTGCTGCGGGCGTGCCCCTCGAGCGTTTTTTTCGACTTGCTCTAGTATACTTGGGAGTAATCGAAGAGTTGTAGTTTTGTCAATAGAGTTCCGCATTTAGGTTGCATTAGGGTTTCTTGGAGAATTGGGTGACTTCACTGCTAACTAGGACGTCCGCAGGAATCCAGGAACAATGTGTCTCAATAGGATGTAAGAAATGAGCACTAGATGACATTTTGTTTTATCAGGTCGGATTTATTCGGATCTAGTTTGCGTATATTCTCAAGTAAATAGCATTAATTTCTCATCTGGTTTCGGACCTTATGAAAAATCTCCTGAATATTTATGGTTACGGTGT